AGCTCCAATCCATAAGTCCATTTCACAACGTGTGTCTTTCTGCCAAGTAGCAGTAAAATGCGCGGCCAGCACTATGCTTACCGTTTTATTTTTCTAGATGAAAATGCAAATCATGCTTGAATAAAGCCTTAGCCTCTTTCAGGTACTGTGTTATTACTTCATCTTAAAAATGGGTACTTGTCCTTAAGAATTAAACAGGTTTGCATTAAGCCGTGTACATCGAAAATCCTTCATTATAGACTGCCCCAGAGCTCAGCCATACAGCGAAGATCCATACTCTCTGTCGCCGTGTCCAAGTATATTTTGTCCTACTTCGTTGGCGTTCTGTCATCAGCCTACGTCCAGCACCACTGGTGTCAGTGTTTGCTGTGCACGTCCAGGTAAACAGTTGCTTTCTAACTGTCCGATTTTCTAACTTCTCATAATAGAGGTGGTATGCAGCAAGAAAGGAGGTTTAGGGCCTGGAGGCCTCATAGCCGACCATGAATATAATCAAGGAATGCCGTCAATACCACCGAAGCAATTTGAAAGGTCAGTGCTGAAAGGTCCCTCGTGATTGTAATGAAATATGACTGAAGGTACATGCCTGGAAATGCAGGCATGGAATATGCAATGCCTCAGTGACGAGTCTATTCGGTAATTTTAAAGCAAATGCAAGTAACTAAAAGAAAGCTATCACTTAGGCGGCCTTTAAAGTCCAAAAATGTAGCTTTTGAATTGTAAATATGATTTTCATTCAGATACTACTTCGATCAGTCACAAGAAACCTGTAAGAGGTTCATATACTTCGGCCAGGGAGGCAACTACAACAACTTTCCATCTTTTGAAGCATGCATGGGCTATTGCAGCCAAAGTTGGTTTTGACACGGTTATGGTCTTCTTTATTACAGGTAATGTTTTATAGCGATATGCAAAGTTGGAATTCCGCTACTGTCGAGAGAAACCCCGATTGACTTTCCGGGAAGGTGTCCAACGGGGTACACACTGACACCGTCAAAGCTGACGCTGAAACAGTATTGTTGCCCAACAAAAAGTAAGCCTTTTTTATATTCATAGGAAACAGGACCAGGCATCCCTGTCGTTATGAATTCTTTGCTCCTGTACGTAGATTACGACTGTTTGTTTGTTGCCATGATTATCATCAGGTATGTTAGCTTGTGATGCGGCAAATAATTACACCTCACCTATCGTTTGCAAATGATAAACAAGTATAAACATAAACAAAATAATTAAGCTAAAAATTCTTCCATAAGTTGTGAGCGTTGTCCTTCAATGTTGCAGACCCTCCAAGGGATAAATTTAATCACCCAACATAATCACAGTATATGCGTTTGAACCCGTCCCCAGTCCTGTTGCTGGAACGCTGAACGTACCGGGTGTGTACCTGAATGACTCATATCTGCAACGTACTAAAACGTTAAATATTAAATGATATTTTTTCAGGTTGTTTCAGATACGGTATATCTGGTTTCTGTTATTTGAGTTTCTGCAACTGGAATTTGCATTCTTTAAAAAATAAATTATTATTTCCTTGCTCGCCTGCTATGTTATCTTAATCTTACGCCTTCTTTTTCATATAAAGGTTGGCTGACGATACGCAGCTTCAGTACCGCCCGTGGTAAGGGGCACGTTCGCCATTGTCAAAAACTGGGTGTGGAATTCAAACTATTTAACTTCGTGCAGTACTGATAACTATAAACTGTGATAATAATTATTTTCCTTACTGATGCTTCTGCATGAGTTTAAAAACATATTTATGCCATTCATTACTCTTCATATGATCTCTACAATGGTTCCAGTTTCCCGTCAGTTGCGCAAACTTTCGTGACTGGGTTCCAAGGCACTACAGAACCAAATTTTCGACATAATCATGCTACGTTGTCCTCTAACTGATCCTTGGTCGCATTCAATGCCATACTGAAATGATAGTTCGTCGTTCGAGCCTTTCCTATTATATCCTAATCAAGCTTCCAAAAGATTGCTGTTGCGATCTATAACCGGAAAAAAGAAGAAGAGTGGCAGTGACTGATAAATCATAACATCTAAGATAACTAAATTAAGATCTTGCCAAACTCTCTCTAGTCGAGAGCTCGTCGAAGGGACGCCTGTTCTCGCACTTGCCCAGTGAATCCCACTCTTTCTGCCAATGTTCAACGATGACGACAAAGCTTCGTATCGGTGTTCAGCTCCTTCTCCATGACCATCAGTTGGATCAGCAGATGATCGGTGACGAATTGTGCCGGCCGCAACACGCTTGCCATTCCTCACGGTTTCGATCCTCTCCCTCCAAGCGCTTGCACTTTCGAGACTCATGCTCCAATGCTGCCACTGTCGTGGTAGGCCAAGCGTGAAGAACATAAACGATAGTTGTACATCCTTTCATCCACTTCTGTGGTGTTGGTGTTTTTGTAATGGCGGTGCTCTTGCTCGCTAAATCCTCTTGCATA